GTCTTATGTTGGACGCTCCCTCTTTCCTTCCCCTTGCCCCCTCCCCCCCTCTCTCCTCCCTCGGCCGCCCCCCCCTCACCCGCCTCTTTCAATCCCACTGACAAACGTCGCACGCCCCGGCTCTCTGTTAATATGTTGCTATCTTGAGTGGTTTACAATATATGTCGCACACACACACACACACACACACGACGACACACACACACACACACACACACACACACACACACACACACACACACACACACACACACACAAACATACAGACACACACACACACACACACACACACAACTCACCGCGGTGTACCAGTGGGCGGTGAGCGAGAGGGCGTTTCTGTTGATGGCCTCCTGCACGCACATGACCACCTCTGCATCTGTGGGCGCGTGGATGAGCAGCATGCGGCAGTAGATGCTCCACACCGTCCCGCCCTTCATCCCCATGAACCGCTGCCACGTCGCCTGCGTGCGCAGGATCCCGTCTGGCGCCGTCGTTGCCAGCAGCGCCGCGTCCGCAATGCGATCGCGCGTGACGAGCGATTCAAACTTGGAGATGTTCCGCAGCAGCATCGACGCCCGCTCATCAATGCCCACGCGCACGTGCTTCGTCTCGGTCGACTGGTGGCTCTCCAGAAACAGCCGCAGCTCGGCCGCCTTTGCCTGCAACTCCTCTGCTGCCGTCTGCGCCTCCCTGCACTCGTCCTCCGCCACAGCAAGCGCAGCCCGTCGCTCGCCCAGGTCCTCCTGCGTGATGACCACATCCCGCTTCAGTTCAAACTCGCGAAGCGAATCGCGCGTCCTCTGCAGCAGCCCACGCGTGGCCTTGATCGTCATGTACGCGGGCATGTGGTTGCGGTGGGGGCTGCTTGTGCGCGTGGCTGTGTTGCCGTCACCATCGTTGTCAGTGTTGGTGTTGGTGTTGGTGTTGGTGTTGGTGTTGGTAGTGTTGGTGGCGCCTTTGCTGGCGTTCCTGTGGGCGCGGCTCTTCCTGTCGGTGCTGCTCGTTGATATGGCAGTCCCCGCCTGTCCGGATGGCGTGGGTGGATGACTTTGCTGCTCATGCTGGTCCAACGTCTCTTCGCGGCTCAGATCGGCAGCCTTGCCTGTCCCACGTGCCATATCGCCACCGCCAGGTTGGGCGTGATCCGTTGGGGCGGTCGCAGCGGCCTTGTCGGCACGTGCAGCAGTCGATGACGATGGCGACGATTGTGATGATGGCTGTTGGGGCTGAGGAGGTCGTTGCCGCCGTGTTGTGGCCGATTTGGCACTTCGCTCGTGCCCAGACATGCCTCGGTCTGATAGCCGCGAGTCACTGATCGTCACCCGTGCCACGCGCTTTTGCTGCGGTTGTTGTTGTTGCTGCGGTTGCGGCTGCTGTTGTTGTTCTTGCTGTTGGTCGCTGTGTATGATGGCAGGGGATGATACTGAGAGTGGCGCGTTCGAGAGGTCATCTGCTTGCACGACCGTGTCGTGAGTGGTGTTGTTGCCGCTGTTGCCATTGTCGTTGTTGTTGGCGTTGTTGTTGCTGTCGTTGTCGTTGCCGAGTGAGTGCACCGCTTTCGCCTTGTCATCTTCATTGCGCGCCGCTGCTCCTTCACTTGCTGTGAGCAAGCCCGTGTTGCCCCTTGCCATGTCTCTGCTGGGGGTAGCCTTGGCGCTCTCGCTGTGTGTGCCGCTGCTGGCGCTGCCCGGCTGCTGGTGGGCAATACGGTCCATCGCCTTGAGCAAGGCCACGCGCTCGCTCATGTGCCGGCGACGGAACGCAAGCAGCTGCCGCAACGCATTCTTTCTGCGCTTGAGGTGGATGGCTCGCTGGATAGCCGTCCAGCCGCGCTGCGCGCGCAGCTGCGTCAGGGTGTTGTAGACTGCCTGCAGGGATCGATGCGACTTGTCCAACATCTCAGCCTCCCGCAGCACGGCGTGTATCTCCCTAACGGCGTCGTCCGCGGTGAACCGGAGCGTGCTCGTGACCGCCGGTGACGGGGCGGTGACGACGCTGACAATGCTGGCGCGGCTGGTTCGGCTCGTCCGCCTACGTGCCCCGCGCCGCGGTGCTGCCTGTGCCATGCTGCTGCGGCGGGAGCCGACCGGGTTGCTACCCGAGCTTGCCGTGCGCGACAGCACGTTGAACCTTGACCCTGCACCCTGCGCCGCTAGTCGCACCTGGTGCGCTTCCAGCCGCTGCATGACGGCCTCATCCAGCGTATCCTTGATGCGACCGAGAAGCTGTGCAAGCTGTGGCTGGCACTGGTCACACACCTCCGCCAGCGTCGTGCTGGCCTCTTGCCACGCGCGCACCTGCTCCTCCCTCATGCTGCGGGGGGGGGGGGGGTTGTGTGAGGTTGTGTTGTCTCTCTTGCTTGCTTGCTTGGTTGTTCGTTTTGTGTTCGTTTGCTGGTTGTCAACGACGGCAGTGGGTTTTGCTGGTTGTGGGTTGGATGGTTGTGGGACGTGCTTGGCAAGGCGCAGCGAAGAGGCGAAGCAAGCACACGAGCACGCAAGCACAAGCACACGGGCAAGCAAGTACGAGCACAAGTGAGGAAGATGCAGACATGAAGCACGGGGAAGATGAAAGAAGAAGGAAGTGGAGAAACAAAGAAAGAAGGGCAGGTTTGTGGTGGCGCGACGGTTGGTTGATCACATCACTGCGTCTTGCTCTTCTTCCCCTTCTGCTTCTTGGAGCGGCAGCACATGCAGCGCACGCACGACACGCACGCGAAGAGGAGAGCGATGCCCACGCCCGTAAAAAACGCAACAATGTCCAGCCCAGCGTTGATGTACCTGGTGTTGTGTGAATGCGAGTGTGTGAGTGAGTGTACGTGCGAGTGAATGTGTAAGTGTGAGTGAGTGAGTGTGAGCGAGTGTGTGTAAGTGTGAGTGAGTGTGTGTGTGTGTGTGTGTGTGTGTGTGTGTGTGTGTGTGTGTGTGTCCGCCGTTTTTGAAAAGGGGGCGATTGTGTGG